CTCAAGCTATGACATGCCATGTCTATGTGCAGTCACTTACACTTCTGTGTGAGAAGTTCTTGCCCATATTATAAATGTGACCTTTACAGGTATCTTTCAGAGGGCCCAGTGCTTTGAAGAGGAACCCTGAGGAGCTATGGAGATATCAGACTTGTTAAATGTGTCTCATAGGAATGTCAGTGTTCATTTAAATGTCCTTCTTTCTTTTTCTTTTTCTTCTTCTTTTTTTTTTTTTTTAATCATGTAAGCAACCCTGTCTGCTGGCAGCAGATTTTTAACCTTGTGATAAAATTAATCACAAATAATCAAAGTTCTACATTTACCCTTTACAGCCAGAGTCAATTATTACGATTTTTTCTTTTTTAGCAATTAAGAGACCCTAGATCTCTTCCAACTCTAAATTCTCTAAACCTTCCTGGTTCAAATATAGGTAACTGATATTGAGACACACACCCCCCCCGCCCCTTTAGATCAAGAGTTACTCAGATTTTCTTGATAAAGGACTAGATCTCCTCTGTTTTCTAAACATTCAACTAAGAGGACACAGAATGAAGTACAATTCTGGGTGTTTGGTTTAGCCTCCAGCAAACCTTGCCAACCAGCATGGGTGCCAGCTAACTCTAGAGACTGATTAAATGCCCTTCCTGTAGGGATCCCATCATGCTTGTTAAGTCCTGATCTAGATAATMTGTCCTTACAGTTGATCTAACGCAGCAGTCCTGGGGCAGTGAATTATCTGACTCTCCCTTCTCAGATCCTCCATGGCAGCATACCCATGAAATTCTACTCACACCGCTTGGGTGTGCATTTCAGATTTGCCCTTTATGTTCTTCTAACAACTCTTTGAGACAAAGTTAAAGATCATGAACCTTAGCTTGAACTGACTGGTGTCATGGCAACTAGAACTTCACCTTTTGCTGGTCCCCACCTCGTACATGCTACAATATTTGTGCACATTAATAATTCATTGCAAAGTGCCAGATTTCTTTGTTCTGTCAAGCTGTGTCAAGGACCGAATATGCTGTGCTATCTCAGATGTCATCTACCAGACTGTTGAGGGCAGGAGTAATTAGAAAGGAAAACTAGTTGGGTTACTTTGGAAAATTCCTGAAAATGCAGTGCTTTCTAGTCACCCATTTATGGCACTTTTTTCCTTGCAAAGTAAGGAACAGAATTAGTGTGGATTGAGGTTTATTTAATAATGCACCCCAGATCCCAGGTGGGGGTGGGCGTGTGGAAATAATGTACAAGGAGTAATTGCTCATGTCCATTCAGGCATCAAGAAATGATTAACAGCCTTAGTCACATGCCCTAGGGTCCAGCAGGACCCCAAGCATGGGCTTAAGAGAAACCCTGAGTGGTCCTGATGTGGGTGCTCTTGCCCAGCTTGCCTCTGATCAGCATAGAGTGAATGTCTGGCACCTGTTTTGGAAAACAAGCAGTCTGGGTCCCACAGCTGCTGGCATTACCTGCAGGGTTTCAGCAGCAGCTCATGTGTTGTTGACAGCCTTAGAAGTTGTGGTGATTGTGGTATTACCTAAGATTGAGTCTTTCTACATAAAGAATATGGTCTTTGTCTTCAAAGGTACACTATGCACAGACACATTGGATTTCATTTATAAAGAGATCAATTTGTTCCTATTTAGGCAAAGAAGTCATGTTTTAAACTGAACTTTGGCCCACTACTGCTTTAAATTTTTTTTGTAAATCCTCCCTCTCCCCAAAAAAAAAAAAAAAAAAAAACTTTGAATTAAAACAAAGTAACCAACTTGTGTCACACTTCACTAGCTACTTAAAGTTGAAACATATTTCCCTGAACAATATGTTTATAACCCACAACTAGAAAATATTTTAATTATATAGCCGATTTGAATTACTTTGCTTCTATTTTTTCTTTCTCTCTTCTTTTTTTTTTTTTCTCTTTCAATATAAAACCAGTATCTTAACTCCCCTGCAAACAATTATGGGGCAGGGGCACAGGAGCAGAATCAGAACCAAATCACATTCTTTGGAATGTGAATGTACAGCCCTCCTGCTTATGTGAGAGAGAAAAACTATAGAGATGGTTTACATTTGATGTATCAATTTAACCCAGTTTAATCCTGGTGAGTTTAAATTCTGCTTAGGGACAGGAATGAGACCAAGTCCTGTTTTACCCATCATTACAAGGCCAGATCGTGACACAGTAACCGCACATAACACATGTTCAAGAATGACTAGTTGAATGGAGAAGTGAATACCACCAGACTCATTGCAGGGGAGGGGTGAGGACTTTAATCAGTTTCAGAACCTTGCAACCAATTAAACTTAAAACACACTTAGGAACTTGTTAATCTTGTATCACCTGCCTTTATATGCTGCTGAGGATCTGGGTTAGTCATTTAACACCTACAGGCAGAACCTCAGCACATGAATATGGGGAACTCATTAGAACCAGCCCACTCTGGTGTCTGTGAGTTACTAGTCTGCCTGCCGCCAGCTGGAGTTAGGATGGACACTGGCCACAGATGCAAGCAGCTCAGTGAATCAGATCTGTCAGGTAGCCAAGTAGCAAATTCTTACTTGTATTTTAAATTGTGTGTAATTTCTTAGGATTTAATACTAAGTTCCTATATTTACCTGTATTAAGAACTTTTAAAACAAAAAGATAGAAAGGACTCTCTTCTAACACTAGGCAAATTTTAATATAGATGACTGTGTGACTTTATTACGAGTCTAGTGATATGTGGCATGATCCTGTCTCCATGCCCAATTGTTGGCTGATGTGAGCGCTCTGAACAGATTGGAGGTAGGCTAGGCTAAGCCCTGAAGGTTGATAGTTTGGGTGTATTAAGTTTAGAAGCTTCTATCCTTAGAAGCAATGCCTGGCTAACATCAAGAATAAATTTTGTACTTTTTAGTTAGTCTAGGAATAATTCATCATTAGTCAATTTATAGACGTGATTTCTTAGGGATATGTTTTTAAGCTTAGCTTGGAATATAGAAGCTTTGTGACGTGACTTGATTTCAGTTCTGGGATATAATGGCCATATTATAAGTTATAGAGCCTGAAGTTGAACTATAATGACCTAAATTACCAGTTCCCGGCTTTGGGGGGTATAAGGCAGACCAGAGTTATAATTACTGTGATAGTTGCCCTAACAATTGCCATTTGCAACTCTGAAGACAAACAATCCAGCTGAAACGTGTGCTGGGCCCGTGCAGTAGTGAGAGGTGAGCACGATCACAGGGTGGCGATTCTGCCTTAAAATTTGTAAGACTGACCTGTGTCATCCAGCTTGGTCTGACACAGCCAGATAAATAAGTATAAAACAATTAATCAAAACATCATAAAAGCTTGTAATTATGTGTTAGGATGAATGGTACCAACTATGTGTCTTAGAGAGAGATGGACAAAGTCAAGCTGGTCTTGAATAATAGATAATACAGGCGGGTGCATGGGCTGGGAGTGAGCTCCATGYCAGAGCACATGCTCATTCTGCACAAGGTCCTGGGTGTAATCCCCAGCACTGCAAAGCAATAGTAATGATGACACTCTAAATACTTTCAATAAAGGATTATTACAAAATAAAGGATACAATTAATATAAAGCACCTGAAATGCATTACAGACTGTATAACTCTTTGATCACTGTCACACTTTGGCTTATATAAAAAGGGATTGGGAATATAGATTCTTGAGAAGAATTTATAGGTAAAAGTGTGCAGGTGAGCAGAAGCATTAAGGAGACCCAGACAAATAAGGAACAAGTCCGGAATGGGGTACTGAGTGATGACCCAGGAGACAGACAGGGGAAGACCTTGAAATGCTTTATAGATTCATCTGGCAAATGTTCCATGAATTGGAGTGTGGAAAGACTTCTGAATTAATGAGATTGCTGGTTTTAATTTTATACATGTGAAAGTTATCATAACAAACTAAAGATTCATCCAAAAATTCAGTGAGTCCTTAGCCAAGAAATCTCTGAGAAGGGAACTCTTTTTTTTTTTTTTTTTAAGTCTGCTGTGTAGTGCTTTGTTTTTTAACTTCATAAATCATGGGAAGCTGTGTTGGCAGTAGACAATAACTCAACAGTGGACAGATTGCTCTTTTCCTGCTTTCTTTTAAGAAGCAGGTTATAAAACTGTTGGGAGCCTGGTAGAATAGTTAATAGATCATCTTAAGTAATTTGAAGGATTTTTTTTTTAATGCGGTTCTGCATTTTGAAGGCAAGAGACCGAAGGGGAAAGAGAGTTTAGTAAGAAATCGGTGCCATCTCTGATTTTTACCACCTCAGTGGATCTGCCACATAGTCTGCCACCTTAAGTGGCCAGTCTCCTGCCTCTGTGGGATTTACCTCAGAGACCCCCACAGTGCAGTTTGGTCCTTTGAAATTCTACAAGTTCTTATCAGTGTAGCATTAGCATCATGGTATTTTTTTTCATTAAAATGGTTGTGTATTTTTACCATTTTCTACATTCTAAAGCACTTTACCTTCTGCTAGTGTGCACATGAACAGTGAACCTTTTGATGGTGCAGCAGCTCTTCATTCCCGGGGCTATCACTAATTAGATGTAGCGGTAGGATAAGCATTTATACAAGGCACCTGCTCATAGGGAGGCTTCAGGTCCTCAGAGCAGATGGCTGCGCTGAAGTGTCATGAGCGTAAAAAGATCTCTGCCCTGGGAGTCACTTTAGATTAACAGACAACTGTCACTTAAAGGTGGTAAAGACTCTTCCACTAATASCTTTCTTCTCATCTCTAGGCATTGTCCCCCAAAGTCCTCGTGTTACCGTCTGGTTGGTCATGGCCTCTAATGGCCCTGTCATGCCAATGATATGGTACTGAGTTAACCAGACACATAAAGGATCTTCTCTTTTTGGGAAAATATAAAATGTTTTTAAATGAATTGGGACGTATAATATTGTATGGGTCAGAGTTTGTTCTGTGACCCTGGATTGGGTTTTAGAGGAAATTCAGCAGGTCACTTCTAAAACTTGAATCTTATCTTTCCTTTCAGACGACTAAGGCCTTTCTTCCTACGATGCTGGAGATTAATCATGGTCATATTGTGACAGTGGCAAGTTCCTTGGGATTGTTCAGTACAGCTGGAGTTGAGGTTTGTCAGATATAAAGCATTTCCTTCAGATACCCCGTGATGAACACCTCACCAGAGTACCTGCTGCCTGTACATTTGTGGAAGTGTCCAGTTGGCGTGCTGAATATAGGATGTTTCCCAATAAACCAGGGCCAGCTGTTGAAATGGAATTATACCTCTTCTGCCATAAAATCATTTCTACTGGCTTGACAAAGTCGCAGCAACAAGAGAAGTAGATGGGCCAGTCCTAAGTGTACCCCATTTCCATCGGCAGCCTTGATGTTGGTGGGAGGCACAGGGTCAGGAATGGAACCATGGAGAGCAATGGTAGTGCTGTGGGGAACAGATAAATGAGGCCAAAGGTTCACGTTCTGTTTTCATCATCTTGCCAAAAGTGAGCTGCCTTGTGTTGGCTCATCAGACGAGTTGGTTATGTTCAATATCAGATCTCTGCATTTTAAGTTTATAATAGTGAACTTCATCAAACCCTGTTCCTCACCATGTTGAAATTATAAAACATACGTAAACTATTGTTCTGTGCTGTTTGTCTTATGGGTACCTATAAATTGAAAAAGATAATTTCATGCATATATGCAAAGGAACACAGAATAGATGGCTTCTGCATTCAGGAGATTTTTATTTCCATTCCTAACTTAAAGTTAGGTCATGGACAAGCACTCTGTATTGTGTGCCCTTAGGTTAAGTTCTAGTTTAAGTTTACAAGCTTTGATTATCATTTTCATTTGAATTTCACCCTAAAGAGAAAGTCAGATCATAACAACTTATAACCTGAGCTAGACTTGCCTTTGTTCTTCTTGCATTAATTTAAACAAACAGGTTTTTCAGTCTCCTTCACTGAACAAGAGACCATTTGTAAATTTTCCAGACACTTCAAAGTGAACCTCTCTGCATTTTTAACTTCAGCCTGTTAGCTTTCATAGAATCTTTGGCAGTAACTTCCCCAAAGTAATTTGATACTTAGTAGATGTGGCAAAAAGCATTCATCTGTTTCTGCTGTTGCTTTGAAAATATTATTTCTGCACTGAACCACATCGGATATCTGTCTTTTAAAATGGTTTCCTTTTCTTCGCTTGGCCACCTATAACCTTTTGTAGCAAACATCTAGCCGGGGAAGATAGAACCAGGGAAGCTTCAGGTTGTCTGGATTTGGACATGTTCTTAGCATTTCTGTTATTTCTCCTCTCTAACTCAGGATTACTGTGCCAGTAAATTTGGAGTTGTGGGTTTTCATGAATCCCTGAGCCATGAACTAAAGGCTGCTGAAAAGGATGGAATTAAAACAACCTTGGTTTGCCCTTACCTGGTAGACACTGGCATGTTCAGAGGCTGCCGAATCAGGTGAGTGGGAACATATTACGGATAAAAAGGATAACACTGGGGGAATGTGTGGAGTTGGATTTTCAATCCATCTTTTGCTTTAATTGTCATTTGACAGTTAACCTGTAGTTAATTGGTCAGGGTTAATTGGTTTTTAAAATTGTGTAAGTTTGGCAAGCAGGAGACCTGTGCCACACTAACAGTAACTTTCAGAAATTAATTCAAGAAGCATTGTATGTATGTAGTAAGTGGCTTTTCCATCCCTTCAGGGAGAAAGTGTAAATATCCAGGATCTTTCTTACAAGCTATATCCTCAAGAGTTATTTTCTCTTAGTGTTGGTAAATAAGAATACCATAAGAAAAATTCTTAATATAACTTTGGTTTAGATATGAAATAGTGTCCCTGTCACAGAGGAGTAACATGCCTTTATTCTAAAAAAGACATTGCATATTACATTCCAGATTCGGAAATTTCTCTTTTTCAGCAAGTGTATGTTGCTAGATTGATTCTGACAGAACGAGAAGAATCATTTAGATTTACTAAAGATGAAATGAAAGACCCACACACTTAGAAAGAAGCACATGGGAATATAAATGTCAAGTTCCATCTGACTCACGTTTAGCAGAGTAAACACAACCACGAATCATTAAGAAGATACTTGTGAAGACACGCTTACTTTGAGATCTTCGCTTAAGTGAATCTCCCTGTTGGTCGAGAGCCATTCTTAACACATACTGAGCCGAACAAGCAGTGAATTCTGTGGAGGGCAATTTGAGTCATTCCAGTCTCAGACTGACTCCAAGTCTGGACTGAGAAATGAACTCTAGGGGGTAGGGATGCAGTTCAGTGGTACAGCACGTGCTCAGCATGCATGAGGCCCTGGGTTCCATCCCCAGCACCAAGAACAGAAAAAGAGAAAGTAGGAACTCTAGCTCCTTTTCTTGCATGTGTGCATGTGTCAGTGGATATTGGTTTGGTCTGGCTTTTTTCCCCCTTATGTATCTAGAACCTGTTGCTGGAGGTCTTGAGGAGTTCTGTTTCCTATTTAGCACAGTTGTATGTGCAGACGTCCAAAGCTGGGGTGGGAGAATAAATGCTAAAAGCAATAAATCGTGTTACTATGCTATTTCAACATGTAGCATAAGGAACTAAACTGTAGGGAGGATATCTGTGTGCCCTTCATTTCAGAACTCCCTAGAGACTATATTTTAGCTTTCCCTGTTCAGGGGAAAGGTGCAGACCTATTATTTCACTCAGAAAGGCTATGCCAGTGYTTACATGCTCACATTTTGGCTACACCTAATCCTAAAAGCTTTGCCTCTTGTTGGGGTTTAATGCTTGTTATGCCAGACACCTACTATTTCTACTTAAAGGAAAATAATATGAAATACATCTTGAAGCATCTTAAAAACACCRCCTTCTCACTTTACAGAAAAGCAGACCATTTTTGCTTTTTCCCCCCCTACCTTGTTTTCCTTCATACGTAATCAGATATGTTCATAGTAGGAAAATTTGGGGGGGAAAAATCCAGAAAAGCACCATAAAGAAAGCAAAATGTACCCCATACCTGGTCATTCAGATAATGTCACAATGTTTTAAAATATGTATTTTCAATATTCACTATTGTTTAATACTAAATTTTATTTTTTAACATAAAACATATATAGGAAAGAAATTGAGCCCTTTTTGCCCCCCCTGAAGCCTGATTACTGTGTGAAGCAGGCCATGAAGGCCATTCTCACCGACCAGCCCATGATCTGCACCCCCCGCCTCATGTACATCGTGACCTTCATGAAGAGGTAACTGTGAAGGGCTCTTCCTCACTGACCCAGCCTTTCCCTACCTGCCCCAGACCCTGATTAACTTGAGGCTTCGAGTTTGTAACTGTGACTTTCCATTTCAGCATCCTTCCTTTCGAAGCAGTCGTGTGCATGTATCGGTTCCTAGGAGCAGACAAGTGTATGTACCCTTTTATTGCTCAAAGAAAACAGGCCACAAACAATAATGAAGCGAAGAATGGAATCTAAGAATCTTTTTGTATGAAATATCATTTCTATCAGAAGACGATCAAGATGTTTCAGTCCAGTGCACATCAGCGTTACTGACATTCTCTGGATTCTAACCCCATGTTGACTTTTTTAAAAAATCAACTTTTAAAAAAAATAAAGTGTAAATTAACTGACTAGAGTACTTGGGAAGTGTGATCAGTCAAAGTGAGCTAAGCTTGTTGTTAACAGGATCCTTTAGACAGGACCCTAAAACCAGTCTGATCTTTAGACAAGCACTGTGTGACATCTTTGAGCTGTCATTATTTTTTTTAATGAACAGAAAGTCTAGAAATGATAACTACAGTGTGTTTCACATGTGTGATTTTTCTGAATTCCCATAGAGTTTATGCATTCTTGTTAGTAAACTCTAGCCAACTGACATCCTTGCAACTTCAAGGACTATAGTGCTATATTTTCTCATCTTTTCTAAGTTCCAGTTGTGTAAAGCCTGTGTGGCTTTTTCATGATGTCTGTATGTTCAGCTCTTTTTGAAAACGAATTTTGAAATCTCCATCCATTTGAAGCCAGTGATGTCTGAGCATTACAGTAAAGATGATCAGGCCCCATTCTTAAACTCACATTGACTAAAGTATTAGATGATTTTTTTTTTTTTTTTTTTTTTTTTTACATTTGACCTCTGAAATACTTCATTACGTATCTGGAGTCCTAGTTATCCAAAAAGACACGCATTTTCTACCTATGAATTTTGCTGCATATAGAAAGTGCCCTTTCCTCAGGAGTTGCTGTGTTTTGTGTTTTGGGTTGGACTCTTATCTAGAGTACACAGCAGCTTTGCAAAGAACCCATTTCTAAAAATGGGAATTTCTACATTAAAAAGTCCCCATTTTTGTGCCAACTATGATTAGTGAGGGGGAAAATCTTATTCTATGGAGTATGTACGGAAGGGTGTAAAGATTCCTTTGGAAGGTTTATTCACATTGTAGAACAGCAAATGACATTTTTACAGTATTTTTTTGTAAAGCAAACTATTTTGTGCCTTGAATTTGGTATATGTGTATTAGTGAAACATTGTAAAAGTGAACTTCTACCTCTGTATCTAAATGTGTACCATCCACTTGTAAATTACTATGAACTATTATGTGATTGCTTTTTTTTTTTTTTTTTTTTTTTTAGAATGTCTTGTTTAAATAGTGACCAATGTTTAAGGCTATTAAAATAAGCCAACTTTTACTAATTGGGAAGTTTTATAAAGGACTGATTAAATTTAATTAAATTACATACCAGTGACTGTGATTATTATCAGCAATGTTGTAAGGAAAATCATTCTGTTCTTTTTCTTTCATGCCATCCATACATTGCATGGTTAAATAAAAATGTTTGAATGGGATAGCATTTGGGAACAGACATAATAACCCAGGGTATCATGCACCCAAATTTCCAATGTTACCATCTACCTATGTAAGATAGCTTCATCAAAGGCTGCTTGTATTAAAGTGGGAGGACGGGGCTGGGGCTGGGGCTCAGTGGTAGAGTGTTTGCCTAACATGTATGAGGCCCTGGGTTCGATCCTCAGCACCACACGCACACACACACAAAAATTAAAGTGGGAAAACAGAAATACTCCCATTACCTGTGTTGTCTGGCTGCACCACAGATCAAACCTCACTGGATCCATGTTCAGGAAAGGTCCTGGATCACTGCCAACCTTTTCAGTACGGTTTTAAGGAAGAGCTTCATCACCTGTTTGAATTTCTCTTTATAAATGATAACTAAACCCTGAGGCATTTACCAACAGAAGCCCTGGCTGCCTCTTAATTTTCAGTTTGGGATTTAAATAAGTACTTTTAAGTAGCCTTATAACACTGTGGGGTGGGAGCAATTATTTTCGGGTTGTTCAGGTCTGCCACCCAACTAACACCCTAGAGAAATTGTTCAAGTTAATTTTATGACCCATTTGTCAACCTTAAAACTAAGGAAACTCTTCTTTACCTTTGGTTTTATTCTCGTATGTTAGAATCTAAACCTATTTCTATTTTTGTTATTGCCCTTATAAGACTGTCCATCTCCAAGTTCAATAAACTGAATTCATTTTGGGGTAGAAGGCATCCATTCCCATATCCCAGTCCAGTTTAATTACTTCTGGGGCTCTCCCTTGACTGTTGTCCAAACTCTTCCCATTTTTAACTGTGGCACTTGGAAAGGGATACAATTCCTGCAAGTTTGGAACTGCAGGATTCCTACATGTCGTCTTCATCCCAGTATCATATCCTCAGCCTTATGCTATTTTGCTGGGGGTGGGGTGGGGGTCTTAAACATTAAATCAGTTCTAGTCTTGCATGCTCATATTGACCACTAAGTTAATCATAAGGTTACTTCTCTAGCTGGTGGCTTATCTGTACCTATGCTACACACATGCACCTTGACATTAATGCCAGCTTGAAATACGTTCTCTTTTTCTCTCATCTGGCCTGTTCATGTGAGTGTTCAGGGCCACTGGGTTCAAGGCTGACACCCTGCCCCCCAACCCTTTCTGTCCCCAGCTGGTGTTGTCCCTGTCCCTCTCTCTAACCTTTCAACCAGTTTAATGATAATCATATTGAGTGGGACTCAGGAGTCAAAAGTTTTGAAGCTGGCAAAGATGAATTCCTACTATTGTTTTCCCCCTTGATCTACCAGGTCTGCTGCTCTGTCACAAAAGATTAGATTAGCTTGACAAGATTGAACTACATAAAGCCAGGCAAGTGTGTAAGTGTGTGTGTGTGTGTGTGTGTGTGTGTGTGTGTGTGTTTTAGTATCCTGTTTCCTTGAAAGGCTATAGCTTTCAAATTTTTCCCAAGGCTTAAAAAAAAAAAAATCAAGTTAAATATCCTTTTCAAAGTTTTTGTTTCCAACTGGCAGAAATAATTCTAAATTGATGTTGACCTATATCTTGGAAATTTGCTTTTGCCTCCAACAAAATATGAAATCAGTAAGGTTAGGGGAGGAGGATTTTTTTTTTAATACCAAATTAATTCACTGTGACTGGTTTAAAAGAAGAGTAGAGATAGCAAAGCTGTGATGGACCAGAAGTGGCTGGGACGCAGGACTAGGGATGTTGAGTCAGCATTTGTCCACAGTTTAGCAGATACACCATGCATCTACTGAGCCAAAGGGCCTACCCCAGGGACTCAAGTAGCATGCAGTTAACTCAGGTACAAGGAAGTATACCTGAATGAGCCACAAATGAAGCCTCAGRGTGTGAGGAGGGGAAAGAATCCTGGAGGGTTGTGATGGCCACCCATGAGGCCGGGAATGGGAGTTTGGGTACCTCTGGGAACGGATTCTCAGGAAAGGTACAGAGGTCAGAGTAGATAAATTATATTCATTGTGGCTGAAACAGAACATGGGAAGAGAACAGCATCCATTCTCTCAGGAGGTCCCATCAGAGAATAACCTTCATTACAGGATTAGAAATGTGTCCCTCATTTGATACAGAAGAGGGAAGTTGTGGATTTTTTTTTTTTTTTTGCAAGAAAGCAACATGGTCAGAGTTGTGAGTTAATAGAATCCATTAAGCTGCAATAAACAATTTCAAGACCCAGCAAATAGGGTCATACCAGTTAGAAGGGCAGATGCTGTAGTCCATCAGATAGGTGATGAAGGCCTGCAAGAGACAGAAGCAGTGAGAATATCAGGAGAGCTGGGGCTGAGCAGCCAATGGCACAAAGGGAACTTGTAAGCTCAGGTGACTGAAGATAGCTTATCGCCCAAGAGCACCTGAGTTGTTTTAAGTGAGAAGAATTCCTAGGCAGTCCAACTTAGAAATGGTGCATTGGGGATGCAGGATGAGAATAACTGGCAGACAGCTGGACAACCAGCTCTGGTCCTTAGCGGGGAGTTTGGTGCTAAGATTCTGCATAGAAACTATGAAGTAAGCAAACCTGGGAGGGGGAAGCAAGAATGAGAAGAGATCCCAGATCCATGGGACCCAACTTGGGGACCCTCGGGCAGCCTCAGCAGAAATCATAAAAGGTGATGCAGTAAGGTTAAGAGGGGAACTTCCTCCTCCCAAGGAGAAACCAGACTAGAAACAATGCTCTCTTCCTGGACCTAATCCCCAGGCTGAGTCACACTAAAGAAACCTCAGTCTGGCCCAAGAAAAAGAGTCTGTGTGGCCAGCCCTGGGGCAGAGGCCCAGAAGGTGAAGGGCAGTGTCAACAGATAGCACATGAAGTCTTTAACCTTGTACTCGGGTTTCTAGTAACAAAATCCACCCTTAAAACGACCAAAGGAAAATTCCTTCCTAAACGAAACCTGGAAACTGTTGCTCTTTGGCAATTTTGTTTGCTTGGCCTCAGGAGCATGAATTGCTTAAATGCGCAGGCAACTTTTCATGAGAATCCTGGGGGAAAACAAAATACAAATTTCAAGCATCATCAAATGGATACATGTGAGTTCAAATGAACTCCTTTAATGTGCCAAAAAAGATGAGACAGGACCAATTCTTATCAGTCTGCTCGAAGAATCCTATCTGGTCTCTGGAACACTGAACTCAGGCCAAAAACTGCCTTTTTCGAAGCAGGTCCCGGGTCAAGCGGGGGCGTCCCTGATCTCCCACTAAATGTCAAGGTAGAGCAGTACATGACCACAGCCCAGTTCCTACTTAGTATGACTTTTCCTGTGGCTTACAATCCTTCTAATACAATAGCTATCTCAAAACGTTTACACAGTTCATGATTTACCCATCTCTCGGGGAAGCATTGAGGACATACGGCCACACAGGTTAGAACTAACACAATGTCTTCCAGAAGCTCCTAACAAGCTTATTAGCTGTGACTGTTGAAACGATTCTTACCACTAGCCAAAAGCAAAAGACATTGATTAGCAAGAAAAACAAAGCATCTTCAGCCCAGATTCTAAGTTTGAGGTTTTCCTGTCAAGGTGATTGAAACCATGCTGCAGGGAGAGATGTGTGTGCATAGCAGCCATGAAAAATGCCCTCTTGCTTGCCCACACGTCCTGGGTGGTCCACCTGGATGCTACTCCATAGGCCTCCCCTCCCCCAAGGGAGGAACCGGAGCCTGGCTCCTCCATCCCAGCCCTCTGCCTGCACGTGCGCAGTCTCCCAGGCCAGCCCAGCTCATTCGGGGCCTGAGTGATCCAGGTGGCTAATGGGCAGGTGGGGGTCCTG